CCCGAACCAAAAGAGCCGGAACCAAAAGAGCCTGAACCAAAAGAACCCGAACCAAAAGAGCCTGAACCAAAAGAGCCAGAACCAAAAGAACCCGAACCAAAAGAGCCTGAACCAAAAGAACCCGAACCAAAAGAGCCGGAACCAAAAGAGCCTGAACCAAAAGAACCCGAACCAAAAGAGCCTGAACCAAAAGAGCCGGAACCAAAAGAACCCGAACCAAAAGAGCCAGAACCAAAAGAACCCGAACCAAAAGAGCCTGAACCAAAAGAACCCGAACCAAAAGAGCCTGAACCAAAAGAGCCAGAACCAAAAGAGCCAGAACCAAAAGAACCCGAACCAAAAGAGCCACCAAAAGAGCCTGAACCACCAAAAGAACCTGTGCCACCAAAAGGATCCAAACATCCAAAGAAACCCAAACATCCAAAGAAACCTAAACATCCTAAGAAACACAAATGTGTACATCATGATGACTGCTGATCTGTCCGTAACTTTATATCTTATTAGTTTTCGCGTAATTTGTAAAATAAATTAGTATATATTTTGTATAATAAAATTAAATAAATTTATTTCTTAAAAAGATCGATGCTGTTAAAAATCTCAGAGATCATTATTTCAATTATTTTGCAACTAAAGTATGTAATTTTTTTTTTTAAAAAAAAAAAAAATGTATCTTTTTAATGTTGGGAAAAATTATTTGTTATAAACTTAATTTTAAATTCTTTGTAACCTGGCATCATTAGAGTCGTACAAATTCAAGAAGAACTTATTTTCTCGTTTTTTTTTTTTTGTATCTAAAAAAAAAAAGAACAGTCAATGAAAAAAACCCATTTAAAATAAAATTTCCACTGATTTTGCAATTAAGAAATGTTAATCATGTATTGATTTCAATATACCGAGTTCCCATATTAAAACTCTTTCTCCAAGAATAGCGTTCTTACAACGAAAATAAAGCAAGAAAAATGTATATACGTATTTCATGCACCTCTTAGGATTTTCATAGCTACACACTTATCAAATATTCTACTGCTATACCAGCTTCTCCAAGTTTTCATGTTTTATATGAAAGATGGTGAAAAATTTAGTTGTAACAGGAATATTAATAATTTTATTTTTTTTTTTTATTCATAGTCGAACTTTCGATAAAACGTTTAGACGTTAGACGATGTGTATTAAGATATATAAATAGATTCCATAACCTTTTTAGTTGTTTTGGATTTTTATTTCGTAATGCTCGTAAGCTGAGCTGCCTTACTTTCCTTGGATAAATAAAAATTAAATATTAGCAAAGCCACTAACGAATCTAACAATAAGTTCTATTTATTTACCATTAGGTGTATTAAAATAGATTGATTTTAATCGATTTCATAATATTTAACTTGAATTTATTAAAAAATTACGACTTTAAATAAATTTCGCTCAAATTTTTATTATTTAATATTTAATTCAAAAAAAAGCTCGGTCTTAAATTTGTGTAACGAGGTCCTCCAATACTTTCATTTCTGTAAAAAAGGCTTGATAAATGAACAAACCCGATCACAAAATGATTCTTGAGGTATTCTCTGTTTTTTAAATAAAAAACTTTTTATATAATATCATTATTCATATTTTTTACAACTAGTAAATATAATTAGAAAAGAATTGAGAAATTTTACCATTTGCCACCAGTCGATGCTTTTTCACCCGACGAAACTTTTCCTTTAATAAAAAAAGATTTAATTTCAATGTCAGGGTTTTGCCAGGTTTGACAATAATTCCAAACATACTGCTAACTTAACCAAGCAGTAAACATCAATGTATTACGTATTGAATACAACCATATCTTTTATGATAGCTTTTCCTGTGACACTAGCGTTGAAGCCGTAATCCGTGACTGTGCTAAAATAAAGTCATGTGATCTAAATGATCGACATAGTTGACGAAGTTGACAAAGTTGACAAAGTTGCTAAAGTTG